CTACGGTGTGTTGTTTGTTTGATATATCCAGGGAGTTAATATGGTGTGTTTTAGGTTTGATATATCCAGGTAGTTCATATATGGTGTTTTGCAGGTTTGATATATTCAGGGAGTTCATATGGTGTTTTGTATGTTAGATATATCCAGGGAGTTTGTATGGTGTGATGTAGGTTTGATATATCCAGGAAGTTCATATAGTGTGTTGTATGTTTGATATATCCACGGAGTTCATATGGTATGTTGTATGTTTGATATATCCAGGTTGTTCCTATGATGTTTTATAGGTTTGATATATCCATGGAGTTCATATGGTGTGTTGTAGGTTTGATATATCCAGGAAGTTCCTAAGGTGTGTTGTTTGTTTGATATATCCAGGGAGTTTATATGGTGTGTTTTAGTTTTGATATATCCAGGAAGTTCATATGGTGTTTTGTAGGTTTGATATATCCAGGGAGTTCATATGATGTGTTGTATGTTTGATATATCCAGGTAGTTCATATATGGTGTTTTGCAGGTTTGATATATTCAGGGAGTTCATATGGTGTGTTGTATGTTTGAAATATACTGGGAGACCCTATTGTGTTTTGTAGGTTTGATATATCAAGTGAGTTCCTATGGTGTGTTGTATGTTTGATATATCCAGGAAGTTGCTAAGGTGTGTTGTTTGTAAGATATATCCAGGGAGTTTATATGGTGTGATGTAGGTTTGATATATCCTGGAAGTTCATATGGTGTGTTGTATGTTTGATAAATCCAGGGAGTTAATATGGTGTGTTGTATGTTTGATATATCCAGTGAGTTGATATGGTGTGTTGTAGGTTTGATATATCCAGGTAGTTAATATGGTGTTTTGTAGGTTTGATATATCCAGGGAGTTCATATGGTGTGTTGTAGGTTTGATATATCCAGGGAATTNATATGGTGTGTTGTATGTTTGAAATATACTGGGAGACCCTATTGTGTGTTGTATGTTGAAAATATCAAGGGAGTTCCTATGGTGTGTTGTATGTTTGATATATCCAGGAAGTTGCTAAGGTGTGTTGTTTGTTAGATATATCCAGGGAGTTTATATGGTTGATGTAGGTTTGATATATCCTGGAAGTTCATATGGTGTGTTGTATGTTTGATAAATCCAGGGAGTTAATATAGTGTGTTGTATGTTTGATATATCCAGTGAGTTGATATGGTGTGTTGTAGGTTTGATATATCCAGGTAGTTAATATGGTGTTTTGTAGGTTTGATATATCCAGGGAGTTCATATGGGGTGTTGTAGGTTTGATATATCCAGGGAATTTATATGGTGTGTTTTATGTTTGATATATCCAGGGCGTTTCTACAGTGTGTTGTAGGTTTGATATATCCAGGAAGTTCCTAAGGTGTGTTGTTTGTTTGATATATCCAGGGAGTTTATATGGTGTGTTTTAGTTTTGATATATCCAGAGAGTTCATATGGTGTTTTGTAGGTGTGATATATCCAGGGAGTTCATATGGTATGTTGTATGTTTGATATATCCAGGGAGCTCATATGGTGTGTTGTATGTTTGATATATCCAGAGAGTTCATATGGTGTTTTGGAGGTGTGATATATCCAGGGAGTTCATATGGCATGTTGTATGTTTGATATATCCAGGGAGTTCATATGGTGTGTTGTATGTTTAATATATCCCGGGAGTTCGTTTGGTGTGTTGTATGTTTGATATATCCCGGGAGTTCATATGGTGTGTTGTATGTTTAATATTTCCAGGGAGTTCCTATGGTGTGTTGTATGTGTGATATATCCTGGGAGTTCCTTTGGCATTTTGTAGGTTTGATGTATCCAGGAAGTTCATATGGTGTGTTGTATGTTTAATATTTCCATGGAGTTCCTATGGTTTGTTGTATGTGTGATATATCCCAGGAGTTCCTTTGGCATTTTGTAGGTTTGATATATCCAGGAAGTTCATATGATGTGTTGTAGGTTTGATATATCCAGGGAGTTCATATGGTATGTTGTATGTTTGATATATCCAGGGAGTTCATATGGTGTGTTGTATGTTTAATATTTCCAGGGAGTTTATATGGTGTGTTGTATGTTTGATATATCCAGAGAGTTCATTTAAGGTTTATGTATATAAACCAGGTTTATGTCGACAAATAACCACACCAAGGTACGGGTAAACAATATTTATTGAGTCATCAATCAATTTTGTAACATGCTGTTATAACAGACAAGTAACCCATTTGTACATCCCGCGGAAGGCCTGGTCAGTTGTATACATATCCAGAATAGGGGCCTGACTCAAGGAGTTGATTAGTCAGTCAACACAAAGGACCAGCTACAGATTGGTCAGTCTATACAAAGACCGCTTGACCAGTACCCTAGCATCGCAGCGTCAGTAACCAGTGAGTCATATATCGTAATCGCTATTTTTATTCCTCTAATTTACCATAATTTATAATAATTACTTGGACTATCTAACACCAGCGGAAACTAGAACGACTAAAGGATATATTTAGCTACGTTTCGTGTTTTTCCAAGCTTTAGGAGATGAGTATTAGAGTGAAAACTTGAACATAAACTTTGTAAACTTGTGGACTATGGCTTCCCGCCAGAGAGGAAGGTCTACTCGGAGGGTGCCATGGGATTTCTTTAATCCGGCAAACTGGACAGTCTCTGAACTGAGAGAAAAGCTGGAAGCTATGGGTATATCGATGCCCCCAAACATGGCTAAGGCAACACTGAGGGCCGTGTATATGGAGAACATTGGGCGAAGTCGCAGAAATGCAAGCGCCATGCCCGTGGATACGCACGCCCGAGTTCCGCTTCCCAATGTGTCTGTCGAACAGGACGATATAAACAATACGATTCAAGTTATTCGCGAAGAGACAGCGACACATGCAGTGCCCTTAGTTCCGGACATTGTTGTTCGAACACAGTCATCCCAGGAAAACTTCAGAAACGTATTTGGGAAGGACAAGACGTCAATCTGGCCCAATTACTAATGCCGAGACACGAACCCAGGGAGGCTATAAACATTACAATAAATGAAACAGAAGACCCAAGACTCGCAAAATCGTTGACTATCAGCGAGTTTATAACCGCTTTCGGAAAGTACAAAAGAAAGGTGTGCAAGAAAGCTCCCCATAGAAGGATTGAATTAGATAGATATGAAGCCAATATCGTAGAAATTTCCAATGTTTACGGGAGGAAATTTTACGATTACCACTGCCAGTTTTCGGCTAGGGCAGCCGCAGCATTACATGACAATATAGGCAAGGTGGACAGCTGGGCCCTAAAGGATAATGGTTTACTGGCCATGATCATGGGTAACACTAGGGTGAACTCGTGTCAATTGTGCAATTTGACGTCACACAACACTGCTTTCTGCCCCAAACAAAGGTACAAAAAGAACTTACATCATGGAAATGGACGCGCACAAAATACAAACCAACAGGGCTATCAAGGCAGGGATACTGATAGATTCGGCAGACAAAAGGTGAAGGTTAACGGCAGAGAATCATGTAACAACTTCAATTCAGGGAAATGTTCACGAGGCAATGGTTGTTTCTTCTATCATGCCTGCACGTCTTGTAAATCTACTGGCCATGGGGCAGACTCGTGCAAAGGCGGCAACAATGGACCGCGACCCAATACATCGGGGACAGGAGTCCAAAACAATACACAGCAGAACCAATGACTGATAAAGGACAATTACGTACACGTTAACACACCTGTAAATATAGACCAACTCCGTACAGAACTTGATCTCCACCCGGACAAAATGTTTGTAGATTACCTGTGTAAAGGATTGTCCGAAGGTTTTGACACTCTTATATCAAAAACCGAGCTACCAACAAAGGAATGTAAAAATCTTCAGTCTGCGATAACATAGCCGGATTTGGTGGACAAATTAATTCAAAGCGAAGTGGAGAAGGGTTTTTTACAGGGTCCATTCGAACGTTTACTTTTCGATAAATACCGGGTAAGCCCCATAGGCGTAGCTGTGGGTAAATACTCGCGGAAACCACGTCTGATTGTAGATCTTTCCGCCCCACATGAAGATGAATTACACCCAAGTGTAAATTATCTCATAGACAAGGAATCATGTTCTCTGTCCTACGTACGCATAGATGACGCCATCAGGAAGCTACAGGAGTTGGGGAAAGGTACTACCATGTGCAAAACAGACATATCAGATGCATTCAAGATTATTCCGGTCGTACCGTCACAGTGGCACATGTTTTGCGTAAAGTGGAGAGACAGCTACTATTATTACAACAAACTAGCATTCGGTTGTAGGCCAAGTCCAAAAATATTTGACAATTTGTCTCAGGCGGTGTGTTGGATAGCGGAACATAGATACCATATCAAACACATACTGCACTTACTAGACGATTTTATAACATTCGAACATCCAGACAACTGTGAAGACAGGAACATGGCACTCCTACATCTCATATTTAATCTAAGGTTAGGCATTCCCATGGCAAAGCACAAAACGTGTGGGCCGGAGACAGTCTTAGAATACTTGGGCATCATATTAGACTCCGAGAAAATGGAAGCTAGATTGTCCACGGACAAATTGATTAGGATTATAGGATCGTTAAAATCCTTCCAACAACGACAGTCGTGTACCAAAAGGAAGTTACTCCAGCTTCTCGGCCATCTGAACTTCGCTAGTCGTGTTGTACTTCAAGGAAGATCCTTCGTATCTCATCTAATATCTCTATCAACCACAGTCAAAGCGTTGCACCACTACGTAAAATTAAACAATGAATGCCGGGAAGACATTAAGTTGTGGATCTACTTCCTGTCCCATTGGAACGGTGAATCAGTTTTCTACAACAACAAAGTAGTTACATCCGATGAAATGTGTCTGTACACTGATGCCTCCGGTACTCTTGGGTACGGGTGTTATTTCCAGGGGCTATGGTTCGCGGAACCAACCGATCTGCATAATCCTTATGCATCTAGCAGTGATCTGTCGATAGCATTCAAAGAACTATATCCGATAGTCGTCGCTGCCATGATATGGGGTCACATGTGGGTAGGACAACGCATAGTGTTTATGTGTGACAATTCCGCAACAGTGGCAATTATACAGAAAGGTCGATCAAAATCTCCCCACATCATGCCACTAGTCCGCAGCGTCACATTATGCGCTTCAATAAGCAATTTTACTGTATTGTCTCAGCATGTTCCTGGTCGTCTCAATGACATCGCAGACTCTTTATCTCGATTACAGATAAACCGTTTCCGACAGCTGGCACCTCAAGCGGCTCAATTCCCATGCAAGGTACCTCCGCCGACAGCAGTCCTGTGGGATTCAAGCCAGTAATTGAAGAGCTGTGGTCAGCGTCAATAGCCCCAGACACCAGGAGGTCATACACGACAGGATTTGATAAGTACATTCAATTTCTGCTGTTTTCCAGACTCATCGTGAGTGTGTACCTACCTGGTTTACCTGTGTCAGAAAGTTATCTGATACAATTCGCGGCATATTGTTTCAGCACAAATATATCTTATTCTACCATCAAACTCTACATTTGTGGGATACGATTCATGTGTCTACGTAATAACATCACATACCCATACACTCATGAGATGCCTAGGTTACATGCGATCCTTAATGGAGTCAAACGGTCGCAGGTTAGGAAGATAAAACCACGACTCCCCATAACCTTTCACATACTAGAGAAAATGTGCTCCTATCTACATACGAGTGATCTAATGCTGCAGACAGTCTGTACAGTAGCCTTTTTTGGATTTTTACGATGTGGAGAATTTACTGTGCTAGATAAATTTGACCCTACGGTCCGTCTCTGTATAGAAGATTTGACAATAGTTAAAGAATGCATTTTATTAAACCTTAAAAGATCAAAAACTGATCCGTTTAGACGGGGGGTTGTTATTCGACTATTCAGCACTAATCACTTTGTATGCCCGTACACCATGTGCCAGAAATATATGACATTCAGGATGCGCCAGAGACCCGCGTCGACAGAACCTCTCTTTGTGAACAATATGGGACAAGCATTGACTAGGTCAATGTTCATAACCATGTTAAAACACACCATAGAATGTGTGGGCTTGGATTCTAGTGAATATAACGGACATTCCTTCCGGATAGGCACCGCTACCACAGGCGGGACAGTTAAAATGAGTGATTACATGATAAAAACACTGGGTAGATGGTCATCAGACGCATATTGTCGATACATCAAAACCCCCATAGCAACTATTAGAGACGCACAAAGATCCTTAGTCTCGAGATAAGCAAAATACAACATACCAGCAGGAAGTTGTGGATACCGTTACTCACCACTTGACAATGACATTTTCGGAGCAGCGTAGTAGGTGTACAGTGGATTCATATGTAACTTATAATGACAGCACAAGTATACACAGTATATATCAATCAGCAACACGTTGGTGGCAATTTCGAGTCACTTGCCAAATAAATTTCATGGGTGGTTCGGAAATCCACATGTTACATGTGCATGTCGGAAGTTCATATGAGTCCAGCGTGCACCTAGTATAACCTGCCCTTGATACACACACTATTTATATCCTAGGCATCAGTTAGGATATATAGAGACAGAGAATTGCAATTACTACGTTCCTACAAATGACAACCTTTGCTAGTGTATATATGCAACAGTACAGTGTTTTGTGACCTGGTCCACTGGCAACATTCCGTACGATTAACAAATCACGGCATATATGATTATGATCAGATTATATCACCTTCTATACATACTACTTCAATAAATTTATTTTATACTATTTAATTTTGGGGCAACTCAGGCTTTCTCATTCTACTCGCAAACCCGACTTTTTGGCATATTTCAATTATTAATTATTAGACAATGGGGATCATATAACAATTAATACTTTAATTCCCCAAAATTTATACTATTCAATTCTTTATATGGTTACTTAACCATAACAAATCTCAAATTCACTATCCTCTTCTGGCTCTTGTGGCAAACAACGCTACACCGAGTTAAGGATATTGCTAGCTTGTAATCTTCATCCAATACGGCCAACATTACTCGCCCAACGCCCTACACTGTGTCGAGGATGTCGAGACAATCTTTTCTCTGTACCATGGGCATACCCCTCTTCCGGCTCTTGTAGCAACACGGCCAACACACTCGTCCAACGACTACACCGAGTTGAGGGGTATAGATTCAAGAATTCTCTTCCGGCTCTTGTAGTTATGCCTAGCACTACCCAGGGGGAAAAAAGGTACATTTGAGGTACACTTTTTGGGGTACCTAAGGCATGCCTTAGGTATATCTAAGGCATGCCTTAGGTACATTTTGGGTAAGGAAGAAAAAGAGGACAGAATAGGAGGGGTTAAAACCTGTTCAATATAGGTACATTTTAGGCACAATTAAGGCATGTCTAAAATGTGCCTTTTTTATACCTCTGACTAAGGTATACCTAAAATGTGCCTAAATCGTACCTCTGACTGAGGTACGTATACCTTAAATGTGCCTAAATCATACCTCAGTCGGAGGTATACCTTAAATGTGCCTAAATCGTACCTCAGTCAGAGGTATACCTAAAATGTGCCTAAAATGTACCTCAGTCAGAGGTATACCTAAAATGTGCCTAAATCATACCTCTGACTGAGGTACATATACCTAAAATGTGCATAAATCATATCTCAGGCAGAGGTATACCTAAAATGTGCCTAAATCGTACCTCAGTCAGAGGTATACCTAAAATGTGCCTAAATCGTACCTCAGTCAGAGGTATACCTAAAATGTGCCTAAATCATACCTCTGACTGAGGTACGTATACCTAAAATGTGCATAAATCATATCTCAGGCAGAGGTATACCTAAAATGTGCCTAAATCGTACCTCAGTCAGAGGTATACCTAAAATGTGCCTAAATCGTACCTCAGTCAGAGGTATACCTAAAATGTGCCTAAATCGTACCTCAGTCAGAGGTATACCTAAAATGTGCCTAAATCATACCTCTGTCAGAGGTATACCTAATATGTGCCTAAATCGTACCTCTGACTGAGGTATACCTGAAATGTGCCTTGATACGAGGTACATTTAAGGTATGCCTAAAAAATATCTATCCTTACTGGGATTAAATTCCTACTATCCCTGCTAACTTTTTCAGAAAATAACTAGTCAAGATTTTTGCAAACAATATTTTATTGTGATACATTTACTGATTTCTAGTTGAAACAGTACAAATTCAAATAATCATAAGTTAAATAAATTAGAACCTATATAATATAGACAGATATACACACTGACAAAGTGATAATCTAAAAAGTAATGAAGTAACTTGAAGATAATTATTACTGATGAAGTCTTTTGCATGTAAATTAAAATATTTAAAAATTTGTTAACTATTACTAAATGGGATACAAACTTTCGATAATTTAAATTTATTCAAATTTGCTTCATAGAATAATATATATACAAACGCATCATAAAATAATATAAATGGGATAATCCCTTACAGTTATACATTTTCATCTGTTCATAAATCAAAAGAGGTTTTTGGGCTTAATAAACATAATGTTTAAATTCGAAACTAGATGGAGTATTGAAGTTCAATCATTTCATTTGTTGTCTCTGGGACTTTTGTAAAGAAGAAAGAATTGAATATGAACATGTGATGATGTGCATGTGTCAAAAATATTCGGGCAAATATATATAAGTATCATATCATATATTAAATAACTTATAAAAAACTATGAAACTTTATTATGAGACATATATGCCCAACTTAAGTCAGCAAGTACTGTAACTGTCCTCATTAAGCTTCTGATGGTGGCGGATAGGGTCACAATCTTCTGGGAATTCAGGAGGGATTATACTGAAAAAAAATAATGATCAAATTAACTCAATAACAAAGTAAAGGAAACTGTAATAGTTCATGAATTGCTTGTCAGGTTTGAATAAATTAAGTAATTATACATACATGTAGATATATATGGGGCATATATATATATACAACAAGGTTTAAAATTGAAGCAATCAGATCAACAGCACTTAAATATATTTTGGTATGAAAATTGAAATAAAGGCCATGCCTAAATATATATATGGCGAAACACCAGTCTCATTTTTATTGTACCTCGGGAGTAATACAAACAGTTTTTTAAACAAAGGGACATAGCTCTATAATTGGGAGAGGACCCCCGATTTATATACTGTATTGTTTAAAAGGTATCACTTAAATTGGTGAAGTAATATGGAAGGAGTAGTGAATTTATTTTCTAAACAAAAGGAAAAATATTTCTATTAATATGGGAGTTGACTTTATATATAATTCACAAATGGTCAGTTAGAATGAAATGCTTATTAAGTATATTGGTGCAGTACTTTGAGAGGAATAGTGTAAACATGTCAAACGAGGGGACATAACTCTATAATGAAGGGAGGGAACATCGCTTTGTTTATGTTATTGCCATCCCCTCTTTGTTACAAATGCAAGTATCAGTAAAGTATTTTGACTGCGTCTGATGATGTAAATATGTTTAGGAACAATGAGAGGCCTACACACCCTAAATCTAGGATAATGTAATTAGCCATAATGTTTAGAATGCAAAGAAAAAAGATTGGGGCTCATATCATTGAAAGTGTTCAGCTGCAGACCCAGAATTTAGTTTGTATGTGCTAAGATAATATTGCTAAAATATGTACGACCACATCCCCTTTGCATGAGCTGGTGACCAAAAGTTAAATGAAAATTACCATCTGTGACGTCCATATCTTTCTGTTGGTTTAATGAAGGTCCTTCAGCATCTGAAGGGTCTGAATGAAAGAAAATCAAGAAATAAGTATATATCCTGCTGTTTCACATAATCAAACTGTTTGATTAACAGAGCAACGGCAAGTAGAAATGATGAGCAACAACACCACTGAATCCGGTACAAGATGTTATGTTTGATTTACATCCTACGATAAACAATCAAGAAAAATCTTGAACTTAAAGTGAAAGAATGACAATATTTCATATCAATAATGAATAGAGAGGTTAACAAGATTTCCCATATGGTAAACCAAAACAAAATAATTTCTTTATTTGTTATTAAATATCTACTCAAAAAATGAAGACACTGTGGCAAAGCAAATCAATGTTTGTTTTTTTGGAGTGTATTCTATAACAGGGGGTCGAGCGTCCGAGGTGTTATGCGCCAGGGAAATTAAAGGAGGGAGAAAAAAAGAACTCTACTAGACCCTAGATGAAATCTCACGCATTCTTGGAAATCCTTTCAGTCTGAACTTTTAAGATTTTTCAATGTGTATAGACATATATAACAACAGTTACACTATATTTTATTTAGGTAAGTCAGGAA